GTTGGCGTGATGATCAACATTGGCGTTAAGGTCAACTACAAGCACACACGTTATAACTAGCCACTCCTTTGTAGCTCTGTCCTTTCTCTGACGATGGATTCCTGTACGAGTTCGAAAGCTCAGAGCAATAAACAAATCAATCCGGTCTTCGACCATTCTTCTTCTTTACCGAGGTAAATATCCTTCTACGTCCACGGTGCCCAGGCTTGCCTTCCATAAATTAAACGGGGTCTAACGAACATAACGAAGATTATTCGGTACGGTTCAGGAGGACATATTTTAAACAAGGTCTGGTCCGGTGCAATGGACTAGTAGCATTTTTAGCCCCTTTCATACAATATTCTATCAGCATCGACTTCGTGGTTTTCAAAGCGCCTTACTATTTGTGGGTTCCCGTAGCTTTTGCTACAGCGTCGTGTGTCTTGGGCACTGTTTTTGAATGACGTTAATGTATTAGCACACACACTTGGAAACAATTAACTTTAGAATGCCACGGACGAAACAAAATAAACTAGCTTATACTCGAATGCAACCTTTTTGCGTTGTCAGTGCGGTTGACTTACGCCCACAGCTTTATGACATCTATGAATATGACATCTTCCACGTTTCTGGGGAAAATCCGCTCAAAATATAAATTGAAAATAAATGAATAAGAAGCCTGGGAAGGTCAGATTTCTATTTGATAATGGAATTTGGATCGCTTCCAATTAATCCATTTTCGAGCAGTATGGGCATTTTAAACGTCCTAAGAGTTTCTAAATTACTCCGAGGAGACATCGATTTTAGAACGAGTTCAACCTGAAAGCGCACGGCAGGACCTGAAAGGGACGGATCACCGACAGCAAGTAATTCTCTGCCCCACATGCGCTTGACTTAGATTCAAATTCAAAACGTTAAACGACATAAACAGACATATGAGGAACTAGCGAAAAAATCAGGCAAATTTCTTCTCCTTTTTTGTTGGTTCTGAAGAAAGTGGGACACAATTATCAGAGGGAAAGCCCTGTCAGCCTAATCCTCTAGCACTAATTCCCCTTCTACGAAGTCATGGTTGCGGTAGGTACAAACTGTTTTGCTCCTTTCTTAAAAAGACGAGACGCGCGAAAAATGGAAAGTAGGCGAAACTCTGCCTATTCTAATTTGGCTGCAGCCATCAGGAAAGCTTTGTTGCTGGAAGCCACATGTGCGTGCCAAGCGAACTGAAGAAAAGTACAGGTCAAGCTATTGGGCCAATTTCGTGACAAATTAATCAAAACAAGCTGAAAATCGGGCTAATGAGTGGATGAAAGTAGGTTTTTAGTATTAAGAATCACCTGAAGGCGGTCTCAGTAGCTATTCGTACCTAAGATTTATTAAAAACATAAAAGACAAAAAGTCTTCTGTTTTCTTAGATAAATCCTTGAACGTTATATGATTAGAATTTAAAATTTGAATTAAAATTAGAATTTAAAATTAACCGCCCTGTCTTGAAAAAATGTTGCAGAAACCCATCCCAAACTGATGACGCGCATACTTTAGCCCTAACAAACCCATTTGCATATCTAGCAAAGTAGAAATCTTGTAGTATGTCTGACTTAATGAGTAATAGGATAAAGGAAGAGTTGTCCACCATGTGAGTGGAATGACCAGTGTTATATGACTAATGAAGTCGAAGAAGAATGCTTAGCCATTTTTATCCAGTTTCAATTACTCGCTGATGATCTTCACTGCGGTGAGATAATTTGCGCGATAGGGAATCCCCTAGAAATGACCAAGGATTAGTTATTCGTGCTAACCGAATTATGCGCTCAGGAAAGGTCATATAGTTCCCCACATCACTATGATACCAATGGCACGAAAACATAGCATTTTCCTATACCCTTAAATTGTAACAATTTCAGGCTTTGCTGACTTACCCATCTTCCTAGTTTTCGTCTCATCTACCAACTGACCTGTTCGTACTCTTCTATGTCCATACCAAATGCCTTTGTTTTCGATCGCCAACTGCCATGAACGGAACTCTTCCGGGTCGGTACTGAGCATTCTAAAGCCTTGCTTTTCTCCAAAAAATGAAGGTTCCATAAGCAAAGGCACCTCTTTGGATGTAACAAATTTGACTTACTATTTAATCCATTCTTAGGACAAGTTCATCTACAATTCAAATGTCATATAATGAAGGCGTCTTTGCGGCACCTGTACCATTTGTCATGCTCGTGAAATTCGGACGTCCACAAATAGACTCTTTTAATTAGGCAAAACATATGAAAATCGTATCTTCCAGAATGTCTTTCGGTATAAGTGGTACGTGCCATACGTAAATTAAACGAAAGGTGTCTTTTATGTAGTTGCGAATATACGTTATATCAAGTATACTGTATGCTTCCCTCACCGTGATGTGCGATTTTTTTTCATTTGGGATTTTATATTTCTTTAGCTGCTTTTCGGCCTGCATTTTCTTCAATCAAGTTTGGAATTTTACAGGCTAGGCCTTCCATGCGCCTCAACCGAGGACTACCATGTGCTTATTCAAAGCGCAGGAAAATATTCGCTTTAAAAAATGACTGAGAGTTCTTTTCGGCAGAAGAAGATTACCGTGTTTCATGATTTAACTTTTTATTTTTTTAATGCGTGAGGGTCGTTTAAACATACTAACGATGGACTTTGCTCGCTACCTGTGCAACACCCCCTCTTCAATTTGATTGGCTGTTCCTGTGTAGACAATAATAGCTTGTGAGTGGCGTAATCCTCGACTATTTAAACCCACTAAGGCCGAACCATGACGCGTGTAAGACTAGCCTTGTTTCGTTTTGTGTAAATTTTGTTTGCAATTCGTAAGTTTTATGTTACGAGGTAGTTTTGCATCATCTGTTGAAAAGTGTTGCTATGCATTTAAAATTACGAAGTTTCGTCCGAATTAGTGATTTCTACGCCGGGTAAAAGCATTTATTTTGCTGTATCCTGCCAGAACTCACGTCATTGATAATAAACAGTTTTATTTAGACAATTCGTTTGCTTTAATCTTGATGTCATGCTTCACGATTTTTTTCTAACGGCTATTCATGAATAAGCTCTTAATTTTTTTATTGTAGCTAAAAAGAATGTTA